CCTCTAAACTGTTCCAACATCTGCCTGTTACCCAGTTCCAAAGTTACTTCCACATTTTCCAGTATCTTTTCAGCAGCTCCCCACTCCTGGTACCAATTTGCTATATTTGTCTGTTTTCATGCTACTGATAAAGGTGTACATGAGATTGGGTAATTTATACAGGTAAAAGGGTTTAATTGGACTTATAGTTCCATGTGGTTGGGGAAGCCTCGGCAAAAAGCAAGGAGGAGCATGTCACGTCTTACCTGGATGGCAGCAGGCAAAGAGAGAATGAGAGCTGAGCGAAAGGGTTTTCCCTTATCAAACCATCAGATTTTGTGAGACTAACTCACTCATGAGAACAGTTAGGAGAAAACCCACTCCACAATTTAATTATTTCCCACCAGGTTTCTCCCACAAGACATGGGAATTATGGGAGTACAATTCAAGATGAGATTTGGATGGGGACAAAGCCAAACCATACCACAACACATTATTCTGGGTGTTGGATACAAAAAGATGAATTCAAATAGCTCAGAGTTTACTAACTGGTATATAAGCAAACAGGTGCCATGTGGCATAATAAATGCTGTAAGAAAGATCTGAACAAAAGGACATGCTATTGGAAGTAGTGACTAATTCCCTTCACCATAGAAATGAGATTTACCCTAAAATTTGAAGATGACTAGGCGTCCATGTATAAACCACAGGAAGTGACAATGAAGAAAGGACATTCAAGGATAGTAGAATAGTAGCACACATTGTAGTGACCTGTGCTCAGTTTAAATAGCCCATTATTTCCTGCTCAGAATAGAGAATGCAAGGATAGACAAGACTATGTCATGTTATAGGATCCTAGAGTGTGTCAGGGTCAGGGAAGAAAACAAGGGTTAGCCAAGCAAAGCTGCACTTTACCATTCAAAGATACAACCATCTAGTGCCACAGATTTTTTTTTATGTGAGGCAGAGTCTTCCTCTATTGCCCAGGCTGGAGTGCAGTGGCACAAACACAGCTCACTGCAGTATTGACCTCCCTGACTCAAATGATCCTCCTACCTCAGCCTCCCAAGTATCTGGGATTACAGGCATGTGTCACCATGCCTGGCTCATTTTTAAATATTTTTGCAGAGATGAGGTCTTGACATGTTGCCCAGACTAGTCTCAAACTCCTGTGCTCAAGGGATCTTCCCAGCTCACCCTCCCAAAGTGCTGGGATTACAGGCCTGAGCAACCCCACTTGGCCTGGTTCCACACATTTAACTTCAGATGAATTGCATTTAATAACTGCTTCCCCAGGCATTTCTTCACATCAGAAGATCTGATGCAGAGTTCACGTGTCTGAAAAGCAGCTGAGTTCCACAAAAGGAAACCCACTATGGGTCATCTTTGCAGTTGGAAAGTTTCTTAATTTTTCATTTAAAAAATGCTTTTAGTTTGCATAATTTATGCAAACTAAATTTTAGGCATCATCTGACATATTTTCATTGATTTAACTGCACTATTCTCTTTTATTTTTATTTGTTTGCATTAAGGATTCAATTAAGTAATCATTGAACATCACATGTATGTTTTGTTTAACTATAGACATAATTGTCCACCTCTAATTTCAGTAGTAATTACATTTTCAATTTCTAAAAATGGGGCTTTGAGGGATTTTTTTTAGTAACAGCTTTCTCTTATAAGGTGAAGGGGAAGCTTCCAACTGCCTCTGGGATCTGACAGACTAGATGCTGGCCCTTCCTTGCTGTGTAACTTTGGGATACTACTCTGAGCCTTCGTTTCTCATTTGTTAATCTACAATGAATATCTCTGCCATGGAGTTACAGTGAATATTACATGAAATTATGTATGAAGCTGTTAACTTAGTCCCTGGGCCACAGTGGTTACTTCAGAGCCAACTAGATGGTAACTCTGTAAGAATGCATATCTTTCCATGCCATCTAGGGGACCTGTCAGTCACTGTCTACAAAATCTTCCTTTAGGATCTTGGCTGTCTTGCTCTTTACATCTCTCTCATAGCTAGAACTGAGCTGACATGTAGTATGTTCTCAGTAAATATTTACTAAATGAATAAATTAAAAAATATAATGTTTGAACCCTCATCCATTTGCCAGGAACCCTCCTTAGAAACTCCTCCCTCATCTTCCTTAATCAACAATGGTTCTTTCCTCCTCTGAGGCTTCATTGCCTACTGTTAGCTCTAATCATAGGAATATCCCACCTGCTGCCTTAACTTGTTAAAAAATTAAGGCAGTACTTTTTACAAAAGTAAAAGTAAGTATAAATTAAGGCAGTACTTTTTATGAAAGTAAAAAGAAGTATAAATTAAGGCAGTACTTTTTACAAAATTAAAGAACCATGTGGGTCAGAGAAGAGGTGATTAGAATACATTTTGTAGGAAATCCAGTTGTTAGAGCTATTTGGGAGTCAGGAGAATTTGGTTTTGATTCTTTGCTACTTATCATCTAGGTGCTCATGTTGCTAGGTGATCAGTTTACTATAACCATGTTTTTATTTTATTCTGAAAAATCTTCTTTTATGGAACTATAGTAAAGGTCGAATATAATAATGTGCTTAGTAGTGTTTAAAAAAAGCCAACATTTCTCAATCCTACCCAAGTATCCCAAAAAACCTAAGGAGATTTTTAAAACTCTACCTGCTTGACAATTTTTCGGAGACCAATTTTTCTCAGTAGGTCAGTGGGGCAAGGGCAGTTCACTGTTTATGAACCTTCAGAACATTCTGATGAATGGCCAGAGCACAGAATCCATGAGATATCCTCATAACTATGTCCACGGACTTGAATTTCAGGGAGGAACATCTTAACTAGCTCCTGGGAGTGAGTACCTTTTGTGTCTGTCTTCAGCTCCCATTTCTTCCCTACACTTGGATCATTTTATGCGCTGTATCACCACCTCTTTACCTTCTGTGCCATTCTCTTCCTAACATAAGTTCTTCCAGCTTTCTCACTCTGGTTATTAAAACATCACCCAATACAACACTAGTGTAAGCATGATTTGCAATTAAACACTTTTATATACTGACCATGGGGTCCCAGAGTGTGTGCGCATGGTGTATTTCAGCTCTATTGCCTCCCTTACAAGTGCATATGCAGTGGCACTTAATTAAACCTTCCCAGCCATTGACGGAGCACTAGTGCCCCTCAAAGCTGTGATTAGCACCTACTCCCATCCAGCAGCAATTGAGAGAACAGGACACAAGTACCTGGGAAGTTGACAAATAGCACAAATGAACACAAAATAGACATAATATAGGGGCATTTGTAGAAAGCATGCCTCTTAGACTTACGATGGGACAGCGCTCAAGAGAAGAAAGAACTTCATCATAGGTCATTCAATGGGTACTTCATTAATAAAGCCTTTTGCATGAGAGGCAGGGTTAAGTAGAGGTGAGAGGAGGGAGAAGAATTTGATACCAAGCCCCTCACATATTTTATCTCATTGAATTCTCACAGCAACCCTTTGAAGTAGATGATATTAGTGCTATTAATATTTGCCAAGTTAGGGAACTAAGGCACAGAAGACAAGTTAGTTTACCTAATGCCACATGGATATCCAATGATAAAGTCGGAATCTAAACTTCTCCATCAGACTCAATCCAGGGCTTTTCTCATCTCACCAAGAATCTCAGCAAGGAATAAAGAGGGAAAGAACTGCACCCTGCAACTGCCGCTTGATAACTGTACAGGTTGTGCAAGTAATTTAATCTCTCCTGGACTTAGTCTGTCCATTATATGAAAATAATCATTTTGCAAGCTGACTGCCAGGGTTTTGCGATAAACACATGAAAGAATGGAGGGTGAACATCCTTAATACCCATAAATCACTACAAAGATATGAGGAACCATGATGATTAGAATGCACCTGTCTTAAACTCAGTTCAACAGTACCATAAACCATGTGTCAGAAGCCAGCCTCTTGCCTACTTTCCACAACACAAGGACTTTTTAGAATTTAATTCATTTTGCTAATTAACCCATTACTTTGTTTTTATCTACAGTGGTGATCACAATAGAAAGTATTGTTGTCTGGTGTTAGGAACCCACTTTCAGGCTGCGTGCATCTCACTTCCTCTCATCTTTGATAAAGAGCTAGTGCCCTGTAAGCCTGGTTTCTTCTGTATGTTTTATGTTTCTGTAAGTATAGCTCACTCTCCCAGGAAACCAAACTCAAAACTAGCTATCATAGTGGGCACTTTCTCTTTCTCTCCTGCCATCTCAGTTGCCAGTTCTATGAATCTTATCTCACCTGGACACTGCAGGAGCTTATTCAACTGGTCCTTCTGCCTCCAGCCTTGGCCCCTCCCAGAACACATTCTCGAAATCCCAGTCAAAAGTGATCTTTTAAAACATAAATTAGCTTATGGTACTCTGCTGCTTAGTACCATTTAGTGGCTTTCAGTTGAAGTTGGAATTAAACACGAACATCTTATGCTCACCTGCAAGATCTATCTACACCTCCAACCTCATTGCAATCACCACCCTCCAGCCACACCATTGCTCTTTCCTGCCTTGGGACATATACAGTTGCTATTTTAATTCCTGCACTTCTTGCACCACACAGACTGACTCCTTCCAAATTTTCAGGTCTCAATTTTAAATATCAATTCCTTGGTAAGGTCATTCTTAATCCCTGATATGAATCACTGTCATCAACCATTGTACTCTCTCATCATGACCTGCTTTTGCATAGCACTCATCACATTTTATATATGTGTGTAGGTATGTTTGGGTATGTAATATACTTAATGTATCTTTCTTATGAGAATGTAAACTCCACCATAATCAGAACCACATCCACTTGGTTCACCACGGTGTATCCAACACTCAGCAGAGTGCTTGGCAAATAATAAGTGCTCAATAAATATTTGTCATATTCATAGAATGGTATGAAATTAGCAATTCCAAAAGAAGTTCACCCAAAAGCCCCATTACTTCACCACCCTCCCATCTGAGACTTGCTGGTCAGCCTAACAAGACCGCTCCTCTTCATCTGCTCCAGGAGCGGCTGGTTCTTTCTGTGCTCCCCCGGTTTGTTGTCCTGGAAATGATCAACGACATGACCAATGTGGAAGACGAGCACCTGCAGCACCAGTTCCATCGGATCTACATCCACCGCTATGAGAATGTCAGGTGAGAAAGCCAACACCCTTGCCCCAATTGTCCGCGCGATCCATGTGTTTGGGTACTCTCATCGCACTTCCAGGACTTCTGTCTGCTTGAGTGCCAGCACCTTTACTCATTTGGTTGATTAATTCATTACCTAGTGATTATTCATCAGAGAGTTCTACATTTCCAAATTAAAGCTGGGGAAGAATGTCACAGAATTCAATTATATTTGCTGGTTGACTTACTGCCTAGCTCTCCTGTAATAGGCATGTCTGTCTTTACATTTTGAGTGGGAAAAGCAAACATCTTTTAAACTATGATAAGAAAAATAATCCAAGAATGTAATCTGGGGGTTTCAGGTGTGATCACACACAACTCCTCCTTATATTTCTCATAAGTGTGTTTAAAACAATACCAAAAAAATGACAGCTTATTTTCCTTTGCAAACCTAGTTTTGGCCAACCATCCTTCTATCCATCCACCCATCCATCCTTCCAACCGTCTTTCCACTTACTCCCCCATCCATAGTGCCCTCTATGTGCCCAGCAAAACACTGGACAACATGGCATGTATGAGGCAGACCACCTTTAAAATCCAAATTCTGCCTGTTCCTTGTTTCTGACCTTGGGCAATTTATTTACCTGAATTTCAAAATTCTTTTCTGTAAAATGGTCATCTTCTTAGCCACTTTGCATGGTTTTATGTAGATCATGTAAGTGAAGATTAATACAAAATATACAACAGAGTTAAGCAAGTAGTAGAGCATTAGATCTGTTGTAGTTAATTTCAGTCATGTTTCCTAATTGCAAGCAAGAGAATCCAACCATGACTGATTCAAAAGAAATGTATTGAAAGATTATGTGGTGGATTACAGAATAATTGGGGAAGAATGGAGAAGTATATGGGGGAAATGGGCCAGAATGAAGCAAGGCCAAGAGTGAAAGCCATAGCCAGAATCAAGCCAGAGCACTAGGCCAATTAGGAGGCCACTGCCACTGTCTCTGACCAGTCTATTTCTTGTGCAATCAACCCTGTCCCCTGACATGGCATACCACCACTGCAATTCCTTCTGCAGCCCTAGAAACTGATACTGCTGTCCTTGCTCTGCTCTGGCATCCTGCTCCGGCTTCCTGCTCCTGCTTCTTCATTGCATCTCAAGTTTAAGCCTGCAACAGATGAGTCTGAACGGTCAACACTCAGTCATTTTCTACAAGTGCCTGGAAAGCAAGTCTCTGACATTTTCAGCTTATACAGTGGAAATGTATTTCCCATCCACAAAATATCATAAGGTAGAAATTTCCAAAACATAGAGTCAGAGTTCTTACATTAAACAACTCCAAAAATGACAAACCTTTCTCTTAGTTCCTTTCCTCCTAACATCAGTAGGACAGAAGGACAACTTTGCACCTACCAGCATCTGTAGGTGTTCTGTTCCTGGCATGCAGAAACACATGTTTTAAAATTCAGCAGAGATCATGATTCTAACACAACCCTTCAGCAGGCATAGCAGGATAGGTCATTCCCAGGGTCATGTCCAAGAATTGAGCTACACTGATTTAGATGCTTCAGTTTGCCAAACAGCTCTTTGTCCAACAGCAATTCCAGTAAGAGATGTGCCCCAGATCTAGGAATGGGTCCCACACATAATAAGATTTCATCAATACTAGTTCTAGGACAATAGGTACCTGTTAATCATAAAACAGTGTGGGGTTTGATTATTAAGCAGCCAAGGAATGCCAAGAGATGATAAAAGGAGGAAAACCTGGGCAAGGAGCTGGAGGATGGGGACGGGGAGATAGGTAGAGGAAACTTCCTGGAAGAGATGATGATTCTTCTTGGCTTTATTTGAGATGAAGTCAGCCAAGTGAGAAACACAAATAAATGAATTCTCAGTAAAGGAGTCAACAGGCATGAAGGCAGAGCCAAGGTCCATGCGGAGAATCATAGCGTTCCATATTCCTTCCCCGGTGGCAAAATGGCTTGACCATAAATGCAGATCCAGAGAAAGCAGAAATTGCATGAATAATTTGGGAGAAAATAAATATTTAATTACTCATATATAAATATATACAAATCATATAAATATACAAATAAAATAATATATGTGGCCTATGATGAAAGTGCCTGTCACCATGGAGAAAGAAGTAGCGAAAAATATCTTTAAAAAGAAAAATAGGAAAATTCAACGAGCCGGCGCGCCCACACCAACACGCTCATGTGCCTTACGTGCGATAAACAACACGTTCAGCGGCTCCCTTTCTGCAGGAACCCTTTTTTGCAGCCCTGTAGCTACTCCTGAGCAGCTACTTTCTTCTGCCCCCACCCCTCCAACCCCGCCCATTTATTTTAAGTCATCGAACTGGGTTCTTGTGCTGAAGACCCTTGTCCAGAAGTTCACGGCACACTACATTAAAATTTCGTTTCCTGCCCTCTGTGTCTCTGCGTTTTCAAAGCTGTTTCTAGGGGAAGGAGCACTGATGCAGAAACCCGCCGCCCGCCCGCCCGGCTGCTCCCGGGCTGTTCTCAGAGCAGCGTGGCAAGATGCCCGCGGCTCCGGGGGTTTCGGGAAGATGAACCTCATCTTCCCGGGGAGGCCGGGCGTCTCCTGCCCACTGCGAGGCTGCGGGGTGCTAAAATTAGACCCGAGCCTTGAAAGCAGAAGAGGACGGTCCCCAGCCTGGCGGAGAACAAAGCCAGCAGCGGGCTGCTCCACCCGCTTCCCCCAGCCCCCAAAGCAACCCTGCTGCGGTGTTGGGAGCAGTTTTGAAATCATTTCCAAGTCACTCTCCTCAAGGTAAACTGCCTGGTGCATTCTGCATTATTTCTTCTCCCTTGCCTTTTTTTTATAATCTATCTTAATTTTGGTCAGTATTTTTTCCTACATTGCGTTAAATTCAAAGCTACAATACTTTCCTTAAAAAAGTGCTGTACACTTCTAAGTCTTGACTTACATTTCATGCAATTATTTACCTTCATCAGGAAAGGGTGTGGTTAAAGGCGATATGCTTGAGAGACTCCCACACCCTTAGGGAGACTTCCACTGCATCACCTCATCTCTGTGGGTCTCCGTTTCTCAACTCAAAAGCTGGGCTTTTTGAAAGCTCAAGGTGATTTCAGCTGTCAACCTCTGAGACTTCTCCAGGTTCACCTGAAGATCCTCCTGGCCACCAGCTTTTTACTGGAAGCCATTGGGGCTCTGCATCCCACCTGCCCAATTCTATTTATCTTTCCTGTTTTTCCCCAGATACTTAAGACACTTCTTGTATTCATTAGGGTAATGCTATCTGCTCTGTAAAATACCCTCTCAATTTTAGTGATTTTTAACTCAATCAAATTTATTCACACAAGTGTCCACTGCTGATATTACTGGTCAGTGGGTGATTCAGGGACAAAGGCCCCTTTGATTTGTAACTACCATCCTTTGGGCCTCAACGTTCCCAGCATTTGGTTATTGGAAGGGAAATCACAGAGTACTCACACTCACTGTTTTACAACCTCCACCAGAAAATGACATATGTAATTTGTGCTCAGATTCCATTAAGGAGAATCAATTCCAGGTTCCTACCTAGATACAAAGTGGGCTGGGAACAGTGCCTCTAGCTCAATGGCCTTTCCTAGTGACAGGTGGATTGACTACATCAACAGAGGCATGGATTTGGTGGACAGTCATTCTCTGTCATGATTCCTTTTTCTGTTGGCTCTGCCAACTCCATTTCATGTACATTTGCACATTTGCTGACACATATTTTGTGAGTTTGTCTGGGAGACACATTTTTCTTTCTCTCTCCCTATGCCATGGTAAACGTGTTACTGAACGGTTGTCGAGGATCAGAAAAATCCTTATTTCTAGAGTCTTGCTCATTTTTAGAGTCTTGCTTTCTTGACTGGCTGTTAATTTCCAGCCAGCTCTGTCAACATGTGTAATCACCACATCTGTCCTGTAGACTGGAGTTTCATGAACCAGCAAAATGCAATTGAATGGACTTAGAGAACTGGAGGACTTTCTAGATCCATCTGCATGGCAATTAAGCACCTCCAGATTCATAAAAGCTTCCAAAAGCAGTTATATGCCCTTTATTTATTGAGGATTATGCAATAATGTATAAGTTATCTTCTGATAGTAGTCCCACAGAGTAGCTTTAATGATATTTGCTTTATTATCGAGAAAAATAGAAGCTCAGAGAGGTAAAGTAAATTTCCCAAGAACACACAATTAGGGAGAGGAGTCTACACAGGGACCATGTCTCTAACTATTCTATTGAATTCTGCAAAAGCTTCTTTGAGAATTCTATTTGAAGAGTCACTGTTAGGTAACATGACTTATTTTTAGCCAAATAAACAACTTATATAACTAAATTAGAGTTAAAAGTTACTGTGGCCCCTTTGGTATATTCATCTTTGGAAACTGCAAATTTATGCCAAGAATCAAAAGACTTGATGACTCTGAGCCCAGCACCTGGGGATGGCAGAATGTGCAATGGAATGAGAATCAGGGCCCTGGTTTCTGCCTCTGGTCTTTTATTCAATAAATTTTTATTGTACAACTATGACTTAAACCAGTGCTTCTGAGTCTTAAATGTGCATACAAATCACCTAGGGCTCAGTTAAAGCAGACCCTGGTACAGTGGGTCTGGAGAGGTGACTTGAGAGTCTACATTTCTAACAATGTTTCATGAGATGCTCTGAAGAAGGAGGACTTAATTCTGAATGTTTCTGTTTATTGGACTCTGAAAACATGTAATATGGCAACTGTGTTGGGCAGGTGCGATGCAGAGGTGACTTCTTTCTTGTTCTTCAGCTAATAGATGGAGCACACTTAGCCACATATGGTTGTGCTATTGAGAGTTAAGTGTTCTGGCCAGGCATGGTGGCTCACGCCTGTAATCCCAGCACTTTGGGAGGCCAAGGTGGGTAGATCACGAGGTCAGGAGTTCAAGACCAGCCTGATCAAGATGGTGAAACCTCATCTCTACTAAAAATATAAAAAATTAGCCAGGTGCAGTGGCGGGCGCCTGTATTCCCAGCTACTTGGGAGCCTGAGGCAGAAGAATTGAACCCAGGAGGCAAAGGTTTTAGTGAGCTGAAATTGCACCACTGTACTCTAGCCTGGGCAACAGAGCAAGACTCTGTGTCAAACAAAAAAAAGAGAGTTAAGTTTTATGACAGAGTGGGGCACTGGCAGGGTGAGAGGCTCGAGTTGGGGATAACTGGCTATGCTTGGGGAAATCTCCAGAGAGGTGTAGACTCTTAACATAATTTTAACACCTGAGTGGGGCTTTGAAGAACAAGTCAGATTTTAGTAGGTAGGAAAAGTGGGGAAAAGCTATACCAGGGAGCAGGTACAGCACATACAAAGATATAGGTGCATAACTTATGGTGGGATCAAAAGACCTGGAGAAGTTTGATGACATTAGAACACTGACCACATCTGAAACTCTTATAACCTTAGCTCTCAGGGAATTCATTTGTTCTTTCAATAGGCTGTGAGCTTTATAAAGGCTGAGATGATTCTATCTTCTGCTCACTGCTGTATCTCCACTGCCTGGTGTATAGTAGACATTTAATCAATAAGCTGTTGAAAGAATAAAAAAATTGGTGAACCATTCTTGCCATACAGATGGATACTAGTAGCTTTGGGTTTATGGATCCATAAAGGGATGTGTTAAGCCAAGTGATCTAAGAGCCTGTCCGCTTCCCACCTGCCATAGCAATGGCTTTGCTTGCTGCAAAAGTAGCATCATTTAGCAATGAAGAGTATGGATGCCAGAGCTGCACTTCCCAGTTCAAATTCTAGCTCTTCATGACTATGGGCAAGTTACTAAGGCCTCAGTTTCCTTATCTATAAAATGGAGATGATCATAATAGGTTCTCCCTCATAAGTTACATGGAATAAATGAATGAATACATATAGGGCTCTCAAAGCAATACCAAGTCCACAGACAATACTCTGTAAGTGTTGCTGCTGCCCAGCAGTTCAGGCTTCATCAACAGTTAGGAATGCTTATAGCTACAAGTAATACATAATCCAATGAATGGCTGTATTATTTTCTACCTCTGTTACCTCTCTGTCCTCTTTCTCTCTGAAATATAACCACACAATTATAGTATAATTTTGTAAAATGATGACAACAAAAGCTAATGCATTTAAGGAGTATTTACTATGCTGGCAATTGCCAGGCAATGTGCTAAACACTACCCACTAATGAGGCAAGTATGACAGTTATCTCCAGTTGATAGAGCAAGGGTTTGTAGAAGTTCAGGAAGTTGCCCAAGGTTATAGAATTCATAAGTAGTGAGCTAAGATTTGAACCCAGATGGATCTAGACTCAAATTCTGTGCATATGACCATACGTTATCCCACCACAGAACTGTAGAAGACAATGGCAGTGTAGTCACTCTGCCAAAGGAAGATTTATAAACTGAAAATCTAATAGCATCACATCCATGCTTAAACTCCATTCACTAGCTTTCTGTCACCTTCAGGACAAAGTACATTCTTCAGCCTGGCTTACCAGCTTCTTCTCCATCATTGCCCCACCCATGTATCTGACCTCATCTCTCTCTATCTCACTCTTCTTTCTGGTGTCCTTGCTCAGTGATACTTTCTGACTGGCTGTCCTTGAATTACTGCAGAACCTTAATATATATACTCGTTCTCCTACCAGACCCTAGAATGTACTGTGAGCATCCATCCTTCTACTCACTTTGCCCATCACATTCTATCAGTTCTTCAGGAACTGTTGAGACTTTGCTCTGCTGGGAGACTCCTGATCCCTTTGTGACTGGTCACCCTCCAATATGTCCTTCAATCACAGTGATCATCACCCTGCACTATTTCCATTTTTCTCTGTCTTTCCAGCTCCATTCCTCAGACTTTGAGCATCTTGAGGGCAGGCACTAGATCTTACATATCATTTAATCTAACTTTCTAGCCCAGTGCCTAAGTGAACACATATTAAATACATAAATGTTTTCTGAAAGAATGAGGCATTCACTAATTAAAGCAATAGGTCTAAGGATTCCTAACGATTTCATGAATGGACTTCAGGGAAGGTATAAATCTCTTTACATGAGGTGCGAAATTTTGAATACTTGTGCATTTTATAGGAGAGATAATCCATAGTCTTTGTCAAATTCTTTAAAAGGTTTGTAATAGAGATGAATTTTAAGAATTATTGAATACATGTGGTGACTGATGTAAGTCAACACATTCCACAATGTCTTCTAGCCCAACTACCTATTTCACTAAAACTAAGTTACACTCACCCTGACGTAAGACTCATCATTATTTTAGGCAATGATAAGAAAAGAGGTAAAAAGCTTGACACACTGCTAAGGTGATCAGTTGTAAGATGCATCTTACTTTCAGAGAGGATAAAAAATGAGAAATACCAAATATGGTATCCTGCTTGGTGTCCCATCTTTCCTTTCAGAGGTCCTTGAGATGACATGGTAAGGTAGATATGGCAATGCCCCTCAGTGTAATTCAGCCAAATGGACAATCCCAGCTCTGCCCTGTGTCACTAGTGAGATGTTGGGCAAGTCTCCTTGCCTCCCTGAGCCTCAGTTTCCTCATGGACTGAATGGAGAGAACTAGACTTGCCCCACGGCTTAACCTAAGAGAGTACCTGGCTTTTAGAAGACTTTTGGAAGCTTCCCTGTCCCTTATACCAGGCCATATGCATAGAACAAGACCCCACCTAACTGAAATCTTTAGTAAGGTGAGAGTTTTGGGAAATGATTCTGCCTAAGTTCTCCCAGATTTGCCACCTATTCTCATAATGTTTTAGAAATGCCTAATTATTTACCTGACATTTTTGGTAGAGTACCTGTCATTGGGTTCAAGATGATGAGGTTTTGGGTTCTCCCCCTGCTGCTGGCGACTGTTTTATTCTATGTTCATGACATGCAATGTCATTCACTGTGAAAATATGCAGATAATTCATAAAGTTACATCTTGCTTTTCACAAAAATATGATCTCTTCATAGTGACAAATTCTCTTTTGGGTTGTTTGCATTGCCCACTCTCCACAGCCCTGCATAGGAAAAAAGGCTTCCTGTTGACCCCTTGTCCTTCCTGAGCTCCTGGGTAGACTCTCTGCTGAGATATTTATTAAATACTGAGACATTCCTCCTGACTTTCATGGCAGCAAGAGCTAAAATCTCAGACCACAAAGATAGTTTATCTATTGGGATGGTGTTGATGTGTATCCCAAGATGGATTAAAATATTAATACAGTTTCTCCCCTCACCCCTACCCTCTTCCCTGTGTTTAGTATTCTTTTCGCAGATGTTAAAGGATTTACCAACCTCTCCACGACCTTGTCTGCTCAGGAGCTGGTCAGGATGCTCAACGAGCTCTTTGCCAGATTTGATCGACTGGCCCATGTGAGTTGAATTTAATTCCCTCCTAGACTTTTGCAGGAGTGAGGGACTGCATATGGAATAAGGAAAGAAAAGGATTCAGCCTTTTTCCCCAATGTCATTACCATTCTGCATCCTGTCCCGAGGCATGAGCCTCAACCCTCTCACATTCTGGGGGCTGATGTTAGTTATTGACAGGTCTCAGGCAGGAGGTTTGTCAGATTAATTTTCTCAATTGAGAGACAGCTGGTTGAGTGACAATCAAACCCAAGTCCTTTCTATCTGCTTTCAACACCCCTATCATCGCTTCCCCTTGCACGTGGCCAGGTGCCATCCAGCTGCAGCCACAGTGCTCATGCATGCAGTAATGATGGCCTGCAGTTTCCCAGCCAACCCCAGCCATCTGGGATGAATTAGCATGTTCTCAAAAATCAGTAATCTGCTGGACCATCCCACCACCATTTTGATCAACCTAACTTAAAAGCTTTGTTTTTAGCCAACAAGACGGTACCTTCATTTTCCAGTTGACTTGATGAGAGCTAAGCTAGAAAATAGATTAAAGGAGTTGGACATTTGCTATCAAAACACAGATTCATAGTCATAAAGTCACTTGAGTTACAAAGTAATATCATTATCACACTGTACTTTAGAATGGGTGTTGGGTTCAAATAGACATTTTAATTTCCTGCTTTGTAAAGTGTGTATGTCAGTGTCAACTTCACAGAGCTGTAGTGAGAACTAAATAAGACCTCATCAAGTGGGAGTTCATTTTTGGCAAATCAAAATGTTCTCTTTTAAGGCTGCTTCATTCTATGGGAGATACTTTCATACTGGCATCTAAGCACCTACTAGGTATTGTACATGCTGCTATGTGTTAAGAACATGAGAATGATAAAAACGCACATCCTCTCTTGCTAGAATTACATCTAATTAGGGATTCATAAATAGGTAAGGAATGTACAATGTGCCATGTGTTATGAGGAAGGTAAGTCTGGGGCCTATGGGAACACAGAGGCAATACATGACCTTTAGATGAGAGAAGACTTCTTGAAGAAAGTGACTCGTAAGCTGAATCTTAAAAATGATATAAACAATACAATAGAAAACTGTTCAGCAAACAATAGAATTATCCTCTGTTATGTGCAACATCAACGAATCACAAGTGCAATATGTCAGGTGAAAGAAGCCAGATACAAAAGGCTAGATATTTTATGACTCCATTTATAAGATATCCCATAAAAGGTACAATTACAGAGGCAGAAAACAGATAAGTAGCTGCAAGGAGGGCTGGGAATGGAATAAACATATGGATAGCAACGGAGCATAGGGTGGGGTGATCTGGGGGATGGCATAGCTGCTTTATAGTTTTATTATGGTGGTTGTTTGCATTACTCTCTACAGTTTTGTAGAGAGAGGGCATGGAGCCCTAAGTCAGACAGACATAGATTTGAATTTGTCAGAAAAGTAAATTTTATTGTACATAATTTATACACTAATTAGCAAGGCAAAGAAATCAGAGAAGGGTATTTTATGCAGAGGAGAAAACGAGCATAAAGATGTTATTCTGTGTATGTGGAGAAACTAGAAGAGATTGCTGGAGGATAAAGTGCAGGGTAGGAAGTGGTGGAGATGTGGCTAGAAAGGCAAGCAGGGACTTGTCAAAGAAACTTAGTATAAATTTCAGCTACTGGACAGTTACTAGCTAGGAAACTGACAGGGGCAGGGAAGGAAGTGGAAACTGAGGTATCCTCCTAATAGGAGGGTTGATTTTAGCTGGAGGGCTGAGGACTGGGAAAAACATGTCTACCATTCCTTTTATTGTTGCATCCGTGGTGGTTGGTGTCAGTGACACGTACCGATTCCATTTCCTATTATGGTTCTGATACTTTTGTTCAAAGATGCCAAGACGAACAAAAGTGGCCCTCCAATGAGAACTGGCAGATATGATTAAGGTCAATTTCTGGCATCACAGTAAACTCTGCTGACCCAGAGAAAGAGAAAGGGTATTTTGTCAGGTACTGTGCAAGTCTCTGAAAAGATAAAACCAGTCCCTCCCCTCAGGAAGCTCAGAGTTGGGCAAGGGAAAATGGCATGTGAATACATAGCAGCCTCCATGGAAAGAGCAAGGAGACCAGGCTTCCAGGGCACTGTGTGTCTGACGACAAGAGGCTATCCTAGGGGACTTCAACCTTTTCTACAGTTTCATTTTTACTAAGAAAATATATTCATGTACTACTTATATGATTACAATTAGAAATACTAGAAAATTTGCTGGGATTTCTAGCATAACTTTTTTAAAAGTACATTGATAGCAGTTATGTTTTTGCTTTGAGAGTCTTTTTCATTTTTATTGAGTTTTTCTGCTTATTAAAGTTATACTTGTGCATTAAATAAAATTCAAACATCAAAGGTGTACACAATGCAAAGTACATATCCCTGTAATTCTACCCTCTGAACAATATAACTATCTTTTATAATTTGGTGCATTTATCTCCTCATTTGTATCTACTGTCTGTATGTGCAGTTTCATAAACTCTTGGAAATTTCCCAAGATTTTGATAATGTCAAAGTCATCAAGACAGGAGGAAGGGATGGCAATAAGGCTAATTCAATCAAATGTTTAAGAAGATCCTCACCCTACTTTATTTTTCTTTTTGAATATTTTTTCCAAAGCAATCTGGCTTCCTTTCTGTGAACTTTTCAAGGCAGTTTCTGGTACATATAAGTTATTTGGATATTACTGTCAAATCATCTGACAGCTCATAGTGTTTGATCAGAAAAATGTGTCTAGAAATTGACAGACATTGACAGATAAGAATCCAGGCCTTTTATATATATATACATATTATAAAATGTAATGTACATTTTATTTTTATATATAAAATATATTTTATATATTTTCTTATATACATCATGTATTTTGGTAGCCTCCAAAAGTTGGAGGTTTTGTTGGAAGAATAACAAACCCTGGACATGAACATCATCACATCATTATTCAGTGTCTGCCTCAGAAGAGTAATAAAACACTTTACACAATCTCCTTCCAAAACACATTTTTTTCAGGAGACCTAACATTCTGGACTTTGCCGTAATTTCTGCAATTTTGCAAAGAGAGAGCATGGAGCCCCACAATCAGACAAACATGGATTTGAATTCCCCTTTTGCCTCTTACTCGGTGTATGACCTTCCCCTTAAGCCTGCTTTTCCCATCTGTAAAATGTCACGTGACTCAGAAAGTAGTCCTGAAGACTGAGATTAGTGCAATGCATTTAGCACATTGCCTGGTACATGGTATGTGCTCAATGACTGTTAGTTCCTGTCCCCATTTAGATTTTTTTCTAAAATGCTTTCACCTCTGTTTTCAGGGAAAGATCACAGATTCAGAGTTGGAAAGTATGACAGCCAACCTAGATTGTTACTCCTAGCCAGCTCTTCTGTGGCACAGAAAGTTTCCCCTCTCTCCACTGAAATGTTCCTATCTGTAAAACAGATGTGACTTTACCTGCTCTGCCATGGTCAGAGTTTTATTGTGATGCTCAAAGAAAAAAAGATAAGGAGCAGCATGTTGAACACTGAGAAGGCTACTTCCATGTGTCAGTTGTCATTGTCATTAAGTGATGGGCATGCTTACTCTGCTATGTATTAAGATAGATTATTGGGCTGGGCACGGTGGCTCAAGCCTGTAATCCCAGCACTTTGGGAGGCCAAGGTGGGTGGATCACGAGGTCAAGAGATCGAGATCATCCTGGTCAACATGGTGAAACCCCGTCTCTACTAAAAATACAAAAAATTAACTGGGCATGTTGGCGTGTGCCTGTAATCCCAGCTACTCAGGAGGCTGAGACAGGAGAATTGCCTGAACCCAGGAGGTGGAAGTTGCGGTGAGCCAGGATCACGCCATTGCACTCCAGCCTGGGTAACAAGAGCGAAACTCCGTCTCAAAAAAAAAGAAAAAATACATTTCCTTTTATAAGTAATGGGGATAGTAGACAGTATTTGGATTGCTGTTTTTGGTGTTTGTTGATAGATTGTTCATATATTTCTTCATAAATGTACCCTGTAACATTTATAGACCCCCTGATTTTTTTTCAATAATAGTCCCACTAAATCCTCAAATCTGGCCACTGCTAGGACCAATGAACAAGAAATTTTCTAAGTTCCATTCTAATCATGATACTCTCAAGGTCTCAGAAGAAACAAAGGCCTTCTTTTATTTGATCAATCAGACCTCATCGTCAGCTGTCTTGCAAAATTAGCTGCATTGCCACAGCCAATAGACAGGAACCCCAATCTCCTAAAAATAAACCTGGGATGGCTGTACATGCTGACAGAATTCTGAAGATTGCATGTGGGCCCATTTGGGAAGGCTGGCCAGGCCCCAGAAATCTGACAGGAAAGTATCAGAGACAGTTCTGATTATCTTTTCCCAGTCTAATATTTGTTTTACTTGGCATAGTAATTTTACTTATCCATTACCCAAACATAATGCCCAACTCCTGGTGAGATTAGGAAACCAACACAGTGCTTTATAACTTGCTACTGTAAGGGCATCAACAGTACTGTTAGTCTCTCAGTGGGCACTTTTTTTATCAATAACTACCCTCCTCCAGCTCTAGGGCCCTGCGTTTCCCACAGTCATGGAACCATAAGCGTCTAGGACTTCAAATGTAGAAGGCATCTCAGAGGTCATTCAGTCTCAACAATCCATCCAAGGAAACCAAGAGGAAAAGTCACTTGTCCACCATGAGAAACAAATATGTGAAGGAGCTAGGCCTGGAGTCCAGGTCTTTATCAAAGAAAGAGGCAATATTAATTGAGTGCCCATCTCCCAGACTTCGTACTGAGCTTTCAACTGCATCATCTCACTTAACCCTCACAGTGGCACAATGGGACAAGTCCTATGTTTACCCCGATTTTATAGATGAGGCATATGAAGCCCAAAGGTTAGGTAATTTACCCAGAGATTCATAGAAAAAACAGAGCAGGTATCTGAGATTTGATCCTGTGCAGCGCTACTCCTAAACCAGTGCCCTTGGCTCCCCGTGCTATATTGCCTTAAGTTTTCTTTCTTGTAGAACCTACAACATCCTATCCAATGTAAAAGCATGCATTATTTTCTTGATGCTTGTTGTTCTTTGAAATTTTGTAAGAATTGTGTCTCTGAGATTGGGAATCCACCTAACAACTGTACTACTTCTCACCTGTGAAATGGAAACAAGAAAAACAACTCTCCTTAGAGGGTTATCGTGAGAATGAACTCTTTTATTTATAGTGCATAATAGGAGCTATTATTAGTCATCTTTGTGTTAGAAACAATGTTTGCCTTATTATAGGTGTCCAATTGATGTTTTCAACGAACAAGCATATAAATTAATAAATGAATAAAACGACGCATAAGAAGACTTAGTTTCTCTTCATAAAGTGCTAATATTCTTTCTGGAAAGGGACTTTATAAAGTTGAAATAATAGAAATCCATAAGTGATTTATATTTTTAAGTGTTTATTATTAAGCTGAATACTGCTAAAAGCTGTGAATTCACAGCTGTTTTTGAGAAGAGAGACATTGCTTGAGGCTGAATTTATAGGAAACACTATGAGCACTCTTTGCCAGTCCTGACCGAGTGGCAGGTGTACAGACCATAGAGCTAGTACATAGCAAAATTTGGACATAACCATGTAGCTTTTGAGCTCAAACCCCAATTTTTTTAATGATTCCACTCCACTTCTGAATCCTTCAAACCCCCATTTAGGTTACACCTCAAATCTCTTAGAAAGATAGTTAGAAGTGCATTTCAAAGGTAGGTGCTCCTTACCCCAAATTGCAGACCACCTAACCCTGCTCGCCTCTTTCTAAAGCCTTTTTGAAGAAATGATCCTTCTGCTGACATAAACCCTTCCCTCTCATCCCGTTCCTTCCAGGAGCATCACTGCCTTCGTATTAAAATCCTGGGGGACTGCTACTACTGCGTGTCCGGACTTCCTGAGCCCCGCCAGGACCATGCCCACTGCTGTGTTGAAATGGGTCTCAGCATGATCAAAACCATCAGGTAATTTGTGATCCCCTCCATATTACCTGGGTCTTCAATGTGCATGATCACACACCACTCCATCTGCCCTTTGTGGCAAATCATATGTATGGTGAAAGGCAGACCCCTTTGACTTATTTCACAAAAACGATGTGTCCCTTAGTTCTCCCACATAAACCAATGAACCTGTTAGCATCATGGTTTCCAAGTTTATCTCACTTTTAATTATTTGTGCTACAAGTTTGTATTACAAATGGCCTTGTGGAGATACAGGAAAAAAACGAGATGAGCATAGCCCTTACCTTCAGGGATGTTACAGTGCAGAGGGACAGATGAATGAATGCATAGACAATTTAAATGCAGAAAAAATAAGCTTTGTGATAAATCCAAGTGCTTGAGGGAAATGGAGGAGGAAGTTAATTCAGTGTGGGATGTTGCAGAAAGCTTTCCGGAATAGAAATGTCTAAGCTATTGACTGAAAAGTGGGTAAACATGGACAAGATCCTGGAGGTGGAGAGGAGAGTTTTCAATTGAGAATGAATGTACAGAAACCAGGATGTGCTGCAATGGCTACTGTGAAGCCTGGGAAAGGGTGGTGAAAGATGGACAGTAGGCTGGCAGCAGCCAGAGCCCACACGACCTTCTCAGTCATGCTAAGGACTTGTACTTTATCCTATGGCCAGTGGGAAATTACTAAAAGGCTTCCACCAGGATTGGCTTCATGAATGAGTAGCAAGTGCTTTTGGCTCTATTCAGCATATCTGACAAATAGATGATGGATCATGGGGAAAGGAGTTATTGGGGTTGAGGACTCTGGAACTAGGCTGTGTGTGGCTTTCAGACAGAAATGTAGTATTGTCAGAACTCCCCTTGGGTTCCAAATTGGTTGCACAGCCTGTAAGTGTCACATCCTCACACAGCCACAGCAAAAGCAGTAACAAGAGGATGCACAGGCAGAAACATACACACACACATACATACATATTTATATATTATATATATATAAATATATATACACACCCAAGCACTGACTGATATATGTGTATATCTGTGTATATAATATATAATATATATGTGTGTGTATAATATATATAATATATATGTGTGTATAATATATGATATACATATCAGTGCTTGGGTAACTAACACCCTCAAAAACTCAGACTTAACTGATCTAGGAAAGACTACTATGGGCTTTTTGTAAGCTTCTCTTATTAAAGGTACAGCCGGCCTTGAAAACCACTCCCTTTAGAGACATTTCAAAGGCGGAATCAGAGCATACCATGGAAAAATCAGTATAACAGAGGCTTTCTCAAAATGTAGCTTCACAGCTTCGAACTTTTCACATGAAGTTTTCCCGCCTGCAGTAAAAGATATTTCCACAGATAACCCAGTTTTCTCAAAGGAGACTAACTAGCAAGCATTATATTCTCCCAGAAGCTAGCATGAGGACAAATCATCTTTTGTTGAAAAGCGACAGTGGGCTATAGGGGGACAGCCTCTAAATGAAAGCTATGTAACAAAGACGGTCACTCAATAGTCTTTTCAAGTGGAGTGCTGTTTGTAAGCTGCAGGGCCTTTGCTGTCCTCCGCAAACAGATGAATTGTGTGTGCAGTTGCTGTAGCACATTGTCTTGAAACAAAGGAGTAGCAAGAACTCACAGGACCAGACACAGGGTGGTAGGCAAGGAGGGACCTAGAGGCCATGATTCTGGGTATCTTAAGGCCAAAATTTGGGATTCTTTCCTTGTCTGGACATCATCATAATTTTATTTTTTCAAGAGAAGGAATTTGAGGAGCAAGAGACAAAACCACTCCAAAAACATTTCTCCCTTTACACCATCTCTAATAGAATTTTAAGCATTATTTGGCCAAGCTTTCCAGCCCCACATTAGGCCACTGCCCCAGCCAATATTAGGTGGAGCTGGCCAGCTTGGTGATTGAAGGGGATTCAGAGTAATTCCACCTGCATCCAGGTCTCTTTGAAGACTGCTGGACTACCATTCCAGCAAGGAGAAAAGAGACTAGGAATGTCCCAAATCCTTTTAGTAACTTTGCATCAGCAGAAGGCGTATGTCCATAGTGATAGCAGCCTACCTTTGGAAATGCACATGTAGAGCTTTATCATATCTTAAGAAAAATATCCAATTGTCACAGTCTTCTTATGTCATCTGTCCTATGGGAAGAAAAAATTTTGAGTAGCAATTTCAGAGGCCTTACACTTCATTTAGGGGATTTATCTGAAAGTCTCCCATAAAGCCAAAAAAATGGAATCAGGAGATGCACAGGTGAGATGAGAATTTACGATACTTTTTTATGAGGTGTATGATGGAAACCAAACCCTTTACCATCCCTAATACCAAGTAAGTAGGTAGATAAAGAGACCCAAGATATCCTCTCTACTATCTCCCTAACTTCTGTAGAGATGCAAAAGTACTCCAGGAACTATGGAGAGAGGAATCTGCGGGTTCCAACACAGAGGTCCCTTTTGTTCAGGTTTTGTTCCGGTGTGTGAACCTTATTCTGTCAATCAGTAGACCAGTCAGCAAATGTTTATTGAGCTCCACTATATGCAGGCACCGGGCTAAGCCCTACAAAAACAGTGATAATCATGTCACCTGGAGGTCTTTGTGCATGGGTGTCCATTGGAGGAACAGTTAAATTTATTGCCTACAAAATGAGAAAAATCAGGTCGGACAACTCTGAAAACACAGGTTCTGAAAACCTGTGATTTATAATCACATAATAACCAAATTTAAGTAGCAAAACTTTCTACATACTTTGCATAAGTGTTTATATCTTAGCCTTAAGTAAAAGATATGTTACAGAGATAACATTGGAAAATAAACATCTATAATCAAATGCTTTAAGATAATTAGAGCATTATTATTTCTCATTCTGGAGAGGACCTTATTCCTCCTATTTTATTGAATTTAAGGTCTCCTTTCTGGAGTTTTGAAATTGAACAGTAAGAAATGGTTCAAAGTCTTTTTCAAACTATATGAATTAAAGTCTATTAATATCAAAACAACTCCTTGATTCTAATCTAAGTAACTTAAGGTTCAGTATTAATTCTTCTAGTTAGCAAGAAAGCATGCTACAAAGGAATTAGTAAAAGCCCTAGAATTAGGCAAACCTTGATTGCAATTGACTGAGACTTCTATGGTTTCCAGTGTTATGTCAAATATTTCACTCTGAGGAATGGCAGGTGAACAATATTTACACCTTAATGTGTTTCAAAGAGAATTCCAGCTACATCGCTTTATCAAAAGTTAATAATCTTAACCAATTACTGCTTATACAAGATGAAATTTTTTTATTCAGCTGCAAAGTTACTTGTTCCAATTTAAAAACTTGATAGAAGCTAGAAAGACTAGAAATGTTCATATTGTATTACATATATAATAATGTTATGATAATAAACTATTTATTGACTAGCGTCCCCAGATTTTATTTTCACCCTCTTTATTTGCTGTCAGAAATTGATCCCTGTATGAGGTTTTGTCCTCCTCTTTTTAGCAGCTCTCCTTGTCCCTAGTTCTAGCATTTTCTCAAAGTTAGGATACTATCAATCCCCAGAGTGCAGAAAGACAACAAGGGACCAGCGCTGTGATGGTAAGATGGCATTTGGATTTTTAGTCACTGTACCTAACAACTCCAATAGTTTCCTTATTTAGGAGAGATTTATAATGTTTGTGCAAATGGCAAACCAACACTCAAAATGACCCCAGTCTCTTATGCACTGATTAATTCAAATATGTGATAGAAATTCTCTACAACCACAGACTTTTGAGGACAGGGTGCCAATATTCAGAAAGGCCAGGGTTGTCTGCTGCTAGTTAGAGCATTGGCAGGTTTCAAAGTGGGTGAGGAGTAGCAAAGCTAGATAGTGAAACAGGACTCTCCTGTAATTATTCTCTAACAGAAACATCAATTTGAGCAACTATTCATATGTGAAAATAGCTTCAAAAGAGCTAAGGAAACCAGGTAAGATGTCATAATACTTAACTGCAGCACAATAATAAGAAAAGGTGCAGTAAAGAGAGTAGGCAGGACAAATTTATATTGTATTACCCATATCATCCTTCCTCCCATCCCAAGCAGCACAGTGCAGAAAAATATACCATCTACTTGGGGAAAAGAGAAGGAGGTGGGCACAGGCCTTTGCCTTGGATGCCAACACTGTGCCTGCCACAGTAAAAACCAGCACTGGACAGACCCTCATGGTCCCATATACGAGGCTGGTACCCACAGACTAAGACTCTACACATGCCCTGATGGCAGGTAGGACCACACAGCTCAAGGCTACAGGCTGGCTTGGCCAACCTGATCTCAGGCACACACCACATTAGGCTGACATTGGTGGACCTGGGCTCTGGACATCCCTCAGCAATGGGCAGGCTTTAGTTGTCCCAGGCTTCTGGCCCACCCAGAAGTAGTACCCATGTAGTAGGTGCCATGTTTCTAGCAATGACACTCTGGCTGCAACTGCCCCAGGCTTCTGGCATGCCCTAGCACCATACCTGCCACAGTGCTTTCCCAGGAAAATCCAGTCTGTGAAGACCATAATAAGGATTTACTTCTTTAAATGATCAGGCATTGAGGCACAATGATGAGGATCAAAAATCATCAGGGTAACATGACATCATTAAGAGACAAAAAAGGTGCCAGTGACTGAACCTAAAGAAATGAAGATGTGTAAACTGCCTGACAAATATTTCAAAATAATTATTTTAAGAAATATCAGAAAATATCAAGAAAATGCAAAAAAAAAAATTCAATAAAATTAGGAAAACAATAAGTAACCAGAACAAGAAACTTAACAGCAGAATTTCTCAGGCAGAAGAAAGAAATTGTGAATACCAACAGAAGTTATTTGAAAATACCCAGTCAAAAAAATAAAAAGAATAAAGAGGTATAAAGAAAGCTTACAGGATTTATGGGACACATCAAAACATCAAATATTCAAGTCATGGGTGTTTTAGAAGGAGAATAGAACGATAAAGGGGTAGAAAGCTTAT